ACATTTTGCGGTTCACAGTGGAGGGTGACTCCCTTCTAAACAACTTGCGATTGCAAAACAACTGGCTATACACCATTCGACTGCTGAGTAGGAACACAAGAAACATTTTCTAATCCAAACGTTTTATTTAAAATACGATAAAACTAATAAAATATAAATAAAAATATTATTATTATTAATTTAGCCCGAGAAATAATTTCTAAGGCTAAAGTCTTAAAGCACTAGCATCTGAGGCTGTCGGCGTCATTAATTGTTCTACCCACTTGAGATTTGAAACCGGGAGTATTGAGTTGTTAGTCGAGATCTCTTTTTCTCTTCTTCTTTCTCTTCGGCCACTCAAGCGGACAAAAAAAAAGTTATATTCTTACAAAAAAACTTCTCTATGATGGAAAATATGTTTTAATGGCGCTTAAGCCATTAAGATTTTTCACATATAAAGAATGGGTCTTATCACGTTGCGTTTTCATCGTTGTCGTTCGAAAATATCGATTGGAAATTTCAAACATATCGGTTGGTAAAACAAGTGAGAATGCCATAGTCGAGCAAGATCAACAATTCGGTACCCTGCACCACTTCGCTTAGTTAATAATACACCAACAATTATACATTATTCCTATATAAAAGGCTAAGAGATGGCTGGTAAGGTCTAAAAAAATACCTCTATGTGGTCCGAATACCCGAAGGACTAATTTTCATTATAAAATATTAAAAATTAGACTTTTCTTGCATACGGAACCTTATCTTTCATTAGAATCATTATATAGGCTGAGCTATGGCAGCATTGTCCAAATTCGGTAAAGTTAATTTTTCTGCCAAATTGTTATCATGAACGAGATTCATCAAGGAGTGCTGAAAAAAAAGGTGGGTATATCTCAAATGCTCTCGGGGTATTGAAAACGTCCGCACAAACTTAGCATATCCTATATCGTAAGTGTAGGATGTAGGATGTAGAATATAGGCCTCTCACTACATTCTTCTAACCATCATCCTATTACGGGCATCGCCGATATTTCCTGAACAAACTATAACAAAAAAAAGAGATCTGCAACCCTTTACCCGCCATTTAAGGCGACCCGTAGATCACTCGGAATTGACTCGAAATTGTTATTACAATTAAAGGTAGGGGTAGAGGAATTGTTCTGAAAGCAAATTAAATTTTTCCACTAAACGACACCTCAGGGCGTATAGTTTAAGGTACCCCATGCGAATGAAATAACATTGGATGTTTTGAAGGCTAGAAGCCAGTTAATATCACTCACCCAAACTGACTGCCTCGAGAGATATCTAAAGAAACCAAGTTATCTTTAGAGTGATAAAGTTTGAAGTTTACCTTTCGCGCTTTATTCGCGCAATAGCATGCTACGCTCTCTAGGAATGTTACAAGAGAGGAGAGGAGATTCCTAAATATAAAGCACTTTTTAAAAATTCTATTTTCGGCAAGTGTAGTCATTGATATTAATAATAACTTGCCGAATACTACGGAACTGCTTAAATAACTTAGTAGAGCGCTAAGTTTAGAGTTATGCGTCTATACTATTGATTTCAAAGTAAATCTATTCCCAAACTAAACCTAAAAGACTGCCAAGCTCCCCCAATACGTAAAAATAAATTAAAAGTGTCAGTAAGGACCATATCAAGTAAAAATAGTGGGTCATGGTCCACCACTACGTCACCCTGCAGTTACACATATAAAGCTTGAAAAAGTGGTGCTATCCAAACTATTTCCAATAGCGATCGTCTTTGGGCCAAAATACGGCACTGTATCAAATTACATCAAAATAATTCGAAAAGTGCGGCCTACAGGTTGAACAAAAAAATATGGGACGGACACACAGACAAAGGGGCAGAGCAGCTTCGATTCAGAATCACTGTTTGAGTTGATCGGTATAATAAAGTATGGATCAATCTCGAGTCCTTCTGGTGTAGGGTACGAAGAGGAAAGCCCTATTTTTGCATATTACAACATTTGTGGTACAAGCTATATTAAATTATGCGGGCGTATACCACGCACAGAAGAGCTTAAGATACATTCATCTTTTATTATTCCGATCGAGTAAAGCTTGTCCGTCTATCTCTCTAAAGTCCGTCGAAAATTTTCAACATATTTTGATGAAATTTGATACCCTGACACATTTTGGGCCAAGCACGAATATAATTTGGATCGGACAACTTTTTCCACGGTTTCCAACATTACGCCTTATTTTAAAAAGTCTCTACTAGGAGAAAAAGTTACAATTTTCAAAATTTCTCAATAAAAGTCACCAAATAGTAGTGTCTCGACATTCGAAATTGGTTCGAGTCGGTCAATTTTGCGAACCCGCTCTCTTATAATCGTTCCTACGAAAACTGTACCGAAATGTTACTTTATATGGTAAAAAGATCTAATTTTCTTGTACTTCTTTATAATAGTAAATGAAGATATAGACAGATATCTATCCAAAGATAAAGAAATCACCCTTACCGAATTTGGACCAAGTAGGTCTATTTTTTGGATATCACCGGATATAAGGATTCTCAGGATATATAGGCCCTTATATGCCTAAAAGATAATAAGTTTGTAGTAATAATTTGGTATAAAAATTGAGTGGACCACATTGGTCTATTTCTTGTACTCCATTTCATATACGTTTTGTTATAAATTGTAAGCCCTTTATTTTATGATCAAAATTGCTCCATAGTGGCAAATTAACCAAAAAAATTTACGATAAACAATTTGGATTAGACAGGTTTTTTTTTTAGACCCTGGCAAGTAGGACAAATCATGAAAAATAAACCCTCATATGGAGAGAAAGCCTAATTTCTAGTTTTTTATGACGGAAACTGAAAAATAATAAAATTATTAGAAAGCAAAGAGCTTTTCCCAAATTTGGTTCGCGTCATGTGATGTTTTGGGCACCCTTCAATACGCGGGCTTTCCTGAAAATAATGTGACATTATTGGTGCATTATTGCCAAAATTAATGATTAACGAAGGCAAATTGGTGTAGGGCCTGCCCTGTCCGACAATAATGTTTTTAATGGTTTGTTTTTTTTTTTTTTTTTCTTGATAATTCAGATTACACTTTGAGATTATAATTGCAATTGCCAGAGATATATTGAAGATCATTCAAATATTGTTAAGCACAAATCGTTTCCGCTATTTACGCCTATCAATGATATAACTGCATGTATGCGTGTATATATGTTTGGAAAAAAAATTTTTTTTTTGTTTTGAAGCTGATAAGGTGATGGGAAAGAAAATACATAATTTGACATTGATTTGAAAGCCGAAGAAGAAGAGAAGGGATAGAACGTAAAGTGACGAAAGTATGGTGCGTTGTCAAAAGCCTTTTAAATCACGTAACCAGTTACTACGTAAGCCAACTAATATTAAGGGGGAAAAGAACTTTTTTTTTTTTTTTTCTTAGAAAACCAGCAGCATCTCAAGTCACTTGAGAAAGTGCCACTAACATTATAACGAGTCGTAACATAAAGAAGACGAGGAAGAAGAACAAGAACAAGAAACAATAAACAAAGAAGAAGACTACTATGCACCAAATTCAAGTCTATTTATTGATGGGCAATGTCAAGCTATGTATATGTGTGTGTGCTTGCTTGTACTTGTGCGGCATAAAAATTATGTTAAGTGACTGCAGCTAGCTAAGCAAATAATAAGTAATATTAACTCAGGCAGGACATGATTTTTCATTAAAAATTGAATTTTTTATTTATTTAATTTATTTTTTCTTCTCCACTTTTCCCATTTACTCACAAATAAACGGAAAACTAAAAATAAATCGCAAGACTACTTAAAATAAGAAAAAATATTAAAAAAAAAAATTTGTTTACTTTAAAATTTGAAAATTTAAAAAAATTAAATAAAATAGAAATTTATATTTAATTAAAAAAAAAATTTTTGTTTTTAAGAAAAAATTAAAAAAAAAAAATAGATACGTCTATATATATATAAATATACACGTGTATATATATGCGTATACACTTAAACATACATAAATATGCACATGCATTGATATATGTATATATATTTTTTTTCTATAAATATAAATATATACATATATATCAATGTTTATTTTTTTAATTTTTTCTTAAACACAATAATTCTTTTTTTTGAGATTGTGTATTTTTTTTTTTTTTTTTATAAACATGTTAATATAACAGTAGTTGTTTATAAGCATGCGCGTAGAACTAAACTTTTGACACTTTTCAATATAAATTTGCATTAACAGTTATTACCAATAAATAAAAATTTTCAAGCCTTTGTGGGAGCGTGGCGCGCGAGAATAGAAATAAAGTGCAAAATAAAAATAGTTTCTGCGAGCAAAAGTCTTTAGAAAATTTCTTTTTAATTTTTATAAACATTTCATGTCACTCCTCATCGTTATTCTCATTATCAAAGCCCATGCTTATGTATATGCGCATATATATGCAAACACATGCATATACACATATTCATATTCGCACACCCATAAGCGCTTACGCAAACGTAAGGAACACTTAATAGAAAACGGCAGAAGACGCTGCAAGGTTTTGAATTCGAATCGTTATCGAATAACTGCCAGTTTAAGGTGAAATTTCAACGTTACTGGTCGTTAACTCGTTGAAAAGAAAAAGGATCCTCTCAAAAAAGCATTTGAACAAAGAAATATGGAAATAAATACTATAATAAATTATTATAAAATTTTTCTTAAGCTTGTCTTTTGAAAAAATTCAATTAAAAATTAAAATAAAAAAATTTCATTATTAAAAAAAATATATATATTTTTTTTTTATTAGCAATCGAATCGTAATCGTAAATGAGCTATAAAATCCATAATCGATTTTAGATATTACATAACACTAAAAATAATCATCGTAATAATAATGTGTGCGTATGTGCATGTGTGAAAAAATTTTAATAAGCAAATTTTTGATTTTAGGAATTTTAAAGATTTTAAGCAAATTTAAAAAAGTAAATCAATTACCGAATCAAAAAAAGAAAAAAAAAACGAAAAATAAATAATTAAGTAAATGCTTCCGAATGCTACATAAATATCATAAATAAAATCTTTAAATCTTTAAATCTTTAAAATCATCTTAGGACTTTCCTTTAACGGTAAGTTATAGCTGATAAAAAAATTTTTTTTTAAAGTTTTAATTTAATACAAGTAATATTAGAGAAACAAAATAAAAGAAAACATCGCAAAAAAATTTAAAGCAACAACCGATCCTAAATCTTTTTATTAAACGAATAGGGTACGTAAGGACGTACAATTTTCATCATTTTTATAAACAAAATTTTTTGCTCGAAATCTCGCAAACCATAATTTAACGGTCTCGCAGGTTACTGCATTTTTATTCGTAGCGAACTTAAACATTTTCATAGGTTTAGGTGCATTTTTTATACCCTACAGCATTTGTGGTACAAGGTATATTAAGTTTGTATGGACGTATATAACGTCCACAAAGCTTGATATTAAAAAAAAGAAAAAATTAAATATCATGCATATATAATACCTAGAATATATTGGTCAATAATTCCCGAAACTAAGAAGAACAAAAGCTGATTTCATTTACTTGCATCGTCTCGCTTTCCTAAGGATGCTCCTGGGTGTGCTATAACACAAATTGCGAGGATCTTCAAAATAGGCTACAGTTTTCGCACGAGTTTTAATATAATTCTTTTTCTTTTTTTGGAGCATACTTTCCAGCTTTGAGTGCGTGCCGCAGTAGCATTTGCTGCTGCTGTATCCATCGACTCGCGCCACGATTTTTTTTTTTTTTTAAGTTGACCAATCACTCGGTAGATGTTTCCTACGTGTGTAACACGGTGCGGCCAGGAAGAAGTGAGCAATGCGAAAGAGATATGCAGCTTATGCCGCCTAATCGTTGTGTGCTTAATCGCTAAGTGTTGTTCCTTCACCGACTAAGCACTTATTGTAGCTACCCCCAATGCATCCCACGCTGAAAACATTTGGAAAAATGTTTTCTATTTCTAAGGTGTCAAAATAGTAAACTCACTGGGTTTTGACATCGTGATTTTGTCAACTATCTCTCGCAGCTTTTTCTTTCTTTCATCGAAAATAATTTTTTCGATTTATCAAAGTTTCCTGGTGTAATCAAATCTTTCCGGCATCCATCGTGTTTATCATTATCGGTAGCTGTGTGAATTCTATGAAAGTCAGCAAATCACTGACAAAATGTTGCCTTCGTCGGACAATAGAGCAATGCGGAATTTAAACAGTATTTTGACCATGGAAAAGGCAATGCTTCACAAAACTGCCAACCGATGCAAAGTTCGAATTTTTCCATTACCTTATAAATAACAAACGTAGCTTCGCGAAAATCATTGCAATGTACAAATAAATGGTCGCGATAATATGAAATTCTCACAAGCGTGTTTAAGGTTGGACGCTTTCTTAAAATAATATCGATTTTTTATTCAAAAGTATACCCATGCGTTAGTCCAACGAATTATTGACCAACGTGTTATCTATACACATATATATAATATATATAATTGCATTTATATTCCACACCGCTTGTGATACAGTGTGAATTAATTTAGTGCGGACGTATATATAGCACCCAGAAGGGTTAAAAATAGGCGCACGTTTTATTACATTTTTTATTTATATTATTTATTATTATTTATTAAGACTTATTCTACACATTCATACGATACCTTATAAAAGCCCGGGCCACCTATTGCCATTTTCAAAATAAAAAGTAAAAAAAATATCAATGTTTCGCCATCTTCGAAACCTTCCGAGACAAATTCCATATATGAAACATCAGCATATGAGAAGAGAACTGTGAATGTCGCATTCATTGAAGATGCCACAAGCTATCGACTCTGCGCAACAATTCCTTTGAAGAATACCAACAGATATCGGCTCTTTCTTCACTCTTCCTCTTTCACATCTAAGTAGAGTCGAACATTAAGTGAATTTAAAGAAAACTTTCATAGGGATCCATAAGGCATATCTAGCGCGATCAGAAGACTTTCCCATTTAAATCGGGACGATTTGTCTAACGCTGTAATTTTTTTTTTTAAATTGCCTGGATCCAAATTTTCGGATTTAATTCGTCTATCGAATCAAAGCAGAATTCGTCTATCGAATCAAAGCAGCATCCCCGAGACGGTTTTTTTAGTTACAAGAGTAACCAAAAGATCGCCACGGGCGTAAGGCTCTTCTGAAACAAAATCAGCAGAATTTCCGTCGAAACTATCTGGAAAAACTAATGCATTGTGAAAAGGTGCGCTATCCTGATGCAAAGATCAAGAGGTATCGATTGTGCTTATAGTTCCACCGAATAACTTCATGCGAACGCAAAACTCTCAAATAATTTTGTTTGTTAACAGCCACTTCTTTTTGAACTTAGTAGAAACAGCGAGCATATCTGATCACTTTCTACCTCTTTTTTTCGAAACGCATTGTAAAGTTATCAGTCGTGCGGAGACCGTTTCACGGCGGAAGAGTTTGCGAATCGTTTAATTTTCAAGATGCTCACTCAAATGCAAACGGTCTTCGGCAAGCAATTTGGCGCAATTCGGCGGTGAAGAAATCAAGTGGTCTATGTCACCTAACGTTTAAATGCCATCCCACCTGCGCAAAAAGAATCTGTTACATACGACCTGTCAAAACGAGTTCTTCTTTGATCGTACGAATATTGATAATTGAAAATGAAATGAGTCCAACTTTATAAATGGGAAACTATTCGAGGTCAAAGCGTGAGAAACGTTCAGAATGAAAAGACGACGAACAATCGATTAAAGGCGTAGGCGTAGTTGACGAACAGACAAGATATTTTATTTCACTTGTATGCGATTAGTTCATATGTTTCTCCGCCAATTTAGCAGAAAATATTTGTGATGAATCCCTCAAGGAATGCTCCCTCTACATGCATAAGCCGGCCAGACAATATGTCAATGTTTAACGTCTGCACCGGGCATAAATCCTTAATCAGGCAAGTTCGCCAGAAGTGTAAGCAAATAATGTAGGTGAATTTGGCGCTCCTAAGCCTTGCAAGACAATGCTGCAGGTGAGCGAGTCTGTTCCAAGCAACGTCCTCCTGAAGGATCTTGGCAAGCACCAATCGGTAGTTCAAGCAATTCGACTACCTCTACCTACCAAAGCAGGGCACTCGTGAACTTACGTGGGCGGTCAACCTGACCCCCGTAGATTCCATAGTTCTTGGCATGTGCAGAATTATCGACATGCGTGTGTCGTTATGTTCATAATTTCATATTTGCGTTTTGGATCTTCCATACTTCCGGAGAAGCCACCCTTACTACAGGAGCAAAAATCAACCCAGCAATGCCAGGCACCCATCACTACGCTGTCGTTAACTTTTTTACAACCTATTGGTATTGTACTATATCTCCTGAGTAGCTGACTACGTTGTAAGCATGTCTACATGCTGACGACCCTCGACACCCTCGAAGGCTCTCCAAGGAAAGGAACCCCGTCACCGGGGAAGAATGATGGTCAGCGAGAAATAAGCGAGGAGAGCGAGTTAAGGTGCGTTCACTGTCATACAGGTGCGAAGGGGAATTCAATTAGGTGCGGCCGCATCCCAATCGCGTGTAAAGGGTATGGTTTGCGGCACTGGAAATTCAATCCGGGCATGCTGACTTAACAGTCGCACTTCTTATCTACTATACAACGCGGCAGGGCAAATAAGAAAATATTGTAGATTGGTATACCAACCAGGTGGTTTTGACCATAGCCCATCAGACTTTGACTTGCGCGGGACGCTAAGCAACAACTTAATTAGGAAATTTTTCTTTCTTTGCAAACGTCGTTTGGATTAACTCCTTATGGATTCTAGGAAATCCAGCTCGTGAACGAACGCCACAAAGTTCCTAGATGGAGTGGAAATTAATCTAGTTCATATTACGGTTTCTGAAGTTATCATATACCGTTGGAAGGTACGTTAAAAGAATAAGCAGGTCTTGCTCGAAAAAATCCGTTCTAATGGCACCATCTATCTAAGGTCTTCTAAATTGGTCATTTGATGTCATTGATGTTCCGCCGAGCTTTTATGGCAAAGGAACATACATCTGCCAAAACATGCTGTAAGCGGTAAAGTCTTTACTCCTTCGGTGCAGATATGGATATCAAATATTTAGAAGCAATATCTTAAAGCGTTTTGATGTAGCTTTTTCTTTTAAAACTCTTTAACGGATGAAACAAATTGATGAGAATGATCGTTTATCCTGCACCAGAATTCATAAGTGATGTACATACGAAGACCTATATGATAATCTACTTGCTAACATTGAAATTTGTGTTAACTGAAGACGATATAAAGGCTGTGTAGGAACTCATTGGAGAGCCAAAGGCCAAAGTTCTCTTTGAAATTGATGGAAAGAAAATTAAATATGTGCAACAAAAATTCATCGCCTTCTTAACGAATTCTTGCTCTTCCAAAAGGTCTATCGGCACGTCGCTCCACGCAAACCGATCGATGATAAGATATTTTACAGAAAAAGCCACTTTTGTAATTGTTGTTCTAGCTGTAGATCACAGTTTAACGATGAACCATTCGATCTATTCACCTGATTTTGAACCTTGCTCTATTTCCGATTACTTGAAAGTAAAGGCTTATTTCGATATGGAGTTCATGCAAAAAGCTTGCACCGATGCAGCATAAACACTGGCACTTACCCTTGTTATCCTTCAACTTTTACACATTTGTGGATATGCAAGCGTGTCAGTGAAGGTTTACTTTTCGAGCTGAAGCAGTCATCAATAAATATTTGATGCCATTAGAATATGCTATTTTGAGAAAAAGTTGTTTTCACACCTTATGTCCACCTCTTGAAATCGCTTATATTTTCCTCCATGAATTTCAGTTCAAGTTTTTTCGACGAACTCGTCAGCTTAGATTCGAGAAACATATTAATCTGTCAATTTATTTTGTTCAAAAAACCAACAAAAACTTTTCGCCTGTTCCTTTTGTTGTTAGATATTTAAATGAGATCATAATATATTCTCAAAAAAGTCCAGCTTTGTGGAAGTCAACGTCTGACAGCTGAATTTCTGCGGCTGTGCTTAGTAGACTTAAGTCTCATCGACAGCTATCCTATTCCTCCGACCTCAAACTTAA